TTTTGGTTGATCCAGCTTATGACTGTTTTCTTTTACTTCAGATGATGGGCTCAAAACTTAGCGAAGTCATCGTGGAAATTTTGAAGAGATTCCGGAGTGCTACAAACATTGCTCCCTCGCACATCGTGCTGTATTTTTCAGGAATTTCCGAAGGCCAATGGAGTTTGGTAAGTTTCTTTTTTGTTTATTTCATGATTATCTAATTATCCATTTTCAGGTTGCTGCCAATTACATGCGTGCCATCCAGAACGGAATCAAGTCGTTGTCGGCTAGCTATGAGCCAAAGCTCACGGCTCTGGTTGTGTCTAAAGACCACAACGAACGCCTCTACAAAAAGGTTTTTTTTTTTTGATCGATCATACGCGATTGGGCTGATCTTGAAGCAATCATATGCTATTAGAATATCACTGGAAATCGCGCCGCAGAGCAGAACATTCCGCCAGGAACGGTGGTGGATACCAAAATAGTGTCTCCAGTTATAAACGAGTTCTATCTTAACGCTCACTCGGCGTTTCAGGTGAGCCACTGGATGTGCTTCTATATATTGTTGTGATATCTTGATGCTACCTGTTTGATTAGTTTCTTGAACTTACATGTTTTTGTGATTTTAAGATTTTACTTCAATTGAATGTATTTAGGGGACTGCGAAAACCCCGAAATATTCGCTAGTTCATGATAACTCAAAAATCCCCATTGACGTGGTAGAATTAATGACTCACGGGTTGTGCTATCTTCACGAGATAGTCACCGCAACAGTATCTGTTCCCGCGCCACTTATGGTGGCCGATCGTTGCGCTAAGCGAGGACACAATGTTTATATTGCCAACTCGTGAGTTCTCCTCTCATTGTTTGATGTCTTGATATGATTTAGGAATCGTTCGAAACGAATTCTTTCAGCAATCAAAGGAATGCAGTCAATGGCATTCAAGATGCAAATGCAAAATTGACTAATCAGGGTGAGCTGCGCACAGTCCGCTTCAATGCTTAGAATGCCAATCTACTTGCCTTTAATATGCCGGGTTTGCTCAAT